AATATCATTTAATATCCTCTTAGGAAGGGTGTAGGGCTTAGGGTTTTTTAGGGTTTAGGGTGTAGGGCTTAGGGCATCATCTTATTCTTCTGTAGAGTGTAGCTAGACTGAGTTGTTCAACTGCCACTTGCATGCCATCGCGCCTCCGCGTACATTTCCGCAGGGCAGAACGTTTGGGCAGGTGGTGTACCACACGAGGTCATCGTTGTTGTGAGCGCGATGCAGTACTGAACATTGCACGATATCGCTCTGTGCTGGTTACCTTATGTTGCTGAACTTTGCATGATGTACAAGGAGCACGTAGGGGCTGGGTTCGTAACAATTGATGTTTTTCGGTAGACAAATCCCTACCGTGCTTGCCCCTGGAGCATCTTGACACAAGCATTTCGCTGCGGTACACTGATTTGTAATCCACTGCCTTGCTCTAGCAGACTCTGGCAATCCCTCAGCAGCGTGACCTTGCCCGAATCTGGCCTCACCCTTCGTCTTGCCGAGTATGCACAGCAGTTGTTGATGCTGGCATCATGGCTTGAATCCGATGCGTTTAGGTAGAAGTGCTGCATGTGCAGGTCCATGTTCTCTCCGGAACACATTTCGGACCTCTACAAGATTCAGAAGATCCCTGTCTTGGGCGGCTTGCGGCCGGAGGACAGGGGGCTTGAGTGGATGCCAGAGAGGTCGAAGCAGGGTTTCCAGGATTTTGCGAGCAGAGCTGCCCAATCACGGAGACTCACGGGGAAGGAGGTAAGGGCCCATTCACACAGGGACCTTGTCGAGCGCAGCATTTTGCAGCACAGGCCCGGCCCTGTATAGANNGACCCACACTGAGCTGCCGATGGCGCCCATGGCTGACAAGGAGGTGGACGAGGTACTGTCCCGCGCCGGGATTTCCAGCGACTTGCGTCAAAAGCAAGGAACGGGCGGCTGCCTGACGGTCGTCGCAGTGGCTATCTTCTCCTCCCTGTCAGGGTTGTTGATGGGTTTGGACATTGGCTACATGGCCGGGGTGAAGTCGATGGAGAGCTTCTCCCAAGACGTTCTGAATGGAAATCCAATGACTGGGATGCAGGACAGCCTGATCACAATGATCTTCGGTGCTGGGGCGGCTGTTGCCTGCTTCCCACCCATCATGGACTTCGTGGCCGGGAGGTTGGGCCGAAAAGGCACGCTGATTGTCGGCGGGAGCCTCTTCTGCATGGGATCTGCCGTCCAGGCTGCGTCCTGCGATATCTGGACAATGACTGTTGGCCGCTTCGTGGCGGGCCTCTCCGTCGGATTGCTGTCGGCCAATGCGCCCATCTACACCAGCGAAATCGCACCGCCTGCAATGCGTGGGCGTCTCGTGGCTGGCTTCCAGTTCGCCGTGACGGTAGCTGGGTTCTTGTTAAGCGATTTAATTTAAGTTACCATATTAGGGATCTATAGAAAATAATATAGTAATTCGGTTTCTCTCATTCTGGTAACTAACAAGAACCCAGGTTGGGATCATGGTGGCTTTTCTATTGGCTCTGGCCTTCGAGGAGGTGGTGGAGCCGTTTAGCGGCTGGCGCTGGCTCATCGCCGTGCAAGTCATCCCAGGAGCACTCCTGATCCTTGGGGGCATGATTCTCCCTGGATCGCCCAGGTACTTGATATCGCGTGGAAAGAACACAGCGGCCTTCAACGCCTTACTCCGCCTTCGAAACAAGGAGCAAGATGTTCGATCTGAGTTTGCGGAGATCCTCTTAGAGCAAGAGGAGGAAGAAACCTGCGGCCAGGCTACGTGGAAGGATTTCTTGTCGGGAGGCAATGCAAAGCTCTTGGGCATCGGCCTGGCAATTCAGCTTCTTGGCCAGCTGTCTGGCATGAACGCGTTCATGTACGATGGGCCTGTGATCTTCGAGAGGCTATTCGACAGCCCTCATGCCGGGCGACTCTTCACAGCAGTTGCCGGTGCAGTGAACATCCTCGCCACGATTCCGGCCATCCTTATGGTGGACCGATTTGGCCGAACCTCTCTGATGAAATGGTCTGCTGTGGGCATGTGCCTTTGCTCTGGCATTCTCGCCACAATCGGCGATATTTGCCTCACAAAGGAGGAGAACCTTACATGTGGCCCGTGGTCGCAGTGGACAGCCACGCTTTGTATTTGTGGCTTCATCCTGAATTTCGCCTATGGCTGGGGTGGTATGCCTTGGATCTACTGCGCGGAGATGTTTCCGCTCAGCCACCGCACCAAGGGAGTCGCCGCCACCACGGATGCGAACTGGATCGGGAACATGCTCATCGCCTTCCTGACACCCATCCTCATCGAGAGCTGGAACTTCAACTTCTTCTGGGTGTTGGTTGCCACGAACCTCTTCGGAGTTTACTGCGCCATGTCCGTGCCAGAAACGAAAGGCAAGAGCCTGGAGGAGATCAACGTCATGTTTCGTGAACTCTTCAGCAGGCAGCAGAAGTCACTGGGTTCCGGCGCACCAAGGGACCGGTAGTGCTCCTTTATGTCCAAGTCTTTAAGAGTCTGTGCTTGCAAAGTCCACTTCCCAGCTTTGGGATGGCAATCCCTTGCCTAGCCGAAGACTAGCAAGAGAGTGCTCCAGCGAAGCCCAAGCTCACTCGGTTTTTGGGGCTTCCTCTCGGGCTGCATTGCTGACCCCAACTCAAGCAGGCGCCAGACAAGACATGGAGGGAAGAGGTCAGAGGGCTATGGCTATGGGCGCCCGAGAGGAAACATGTACAGTTGCCACATTTTCATCACATGCATGAGGCCCAGGCTTTTGAAATGCCTTTCCTGGCCTGTGCAATGTAATGAATTTAATTTGTCACTCGCACGACACCGCGCGAGCTGAAATAACCCTGTCCGGCAAGGGCTGGCAGGATCTTATTCAACAGAGGTTCCGAGCGGAGCTTGCAGCGGCAGTACAACCAAAAATCAGCCAGCGTGCAGCATCAGAACTTGGGGGTGCTAGCCTAGCCTACATAGGGGTGGTGTCTGGCGACGTGGCCGATTGGCGAGTAGAGCCGTCTTGGACGTTGTGCTCTCGTGGTTTAGCGCTTCGAGAAAGCCGCATTGCACACTCTCTCTGATCAGTGAAACCCTACAGCCTAGATAAACCCTAAACCCTAAATCCTAAACCCTAAACCCTAAGATAAATGCTACT